GACTTGGCCTTTGTCTCTAGCTGCCTTTAACATTTTTTCTTTCATTTTGACCTTGGAGAATCTGATGATTATGTGTCTTGGGGATAGAAATAAATACTTCTTGTGAAGTAACTTACCGGGGTTCTCTGCCTTTCTTGAATTTGAATATTGGACCTGCTAGATATGTTGAGAAGGTTCTCATGGAAGATATCCTGAGAAATGTTTTCCAAGTTGGTTCCATTCTCTTAATCTCTTTCAGGAAAACCAGTAAGTCCTAGATTCAATCTCTTTACATAATTCCATATTTCTCAAAGCTTTCTAATCCTTTTCATTCTTTTTTTTCTATTCTTGTCTGTCTTATTTTACAAAGCCAATCTTCAACCTCTGTGATTCTTTCCTCTATTTAGTCTATTCTGCTATTAATACTTATAATTGCATTATAAAATTCTTGTAGTGTGTTTTTTGGCTCTGTCTGGTTGGTTACTTTCTTTTATATTTTGGCTATTTTGTTTGTCAGCTCCCACACTATTTTATTGTGATTCTTACCATTTATGGATTGCATTTCGACATATTCCTACATCTAAATAATCTTCATTCCTATCTATATTCTGATTTCTATTTATGTCATTTCAGCCATCTCAGGCTGGCTCAGGTTGTATAGTTAGTGTGGTCATTTGGAGAAAAGAAGACACTCTGGCTTTCTGAGTTGTCAGGGACTGTGGTGACAGTGGGACCCATCCTCGTTTGCATGTTCCAGCAGCAGCAGCAGCAGTGTGGTAGGGTGCTCACTTGTTAGCTGTGTCAATTAATACAAATAAAATATTTATTTTACTTTATTTAGTCTTTCTCTGACACTTTTCCTTTATTTAGATAGATCTGAGTTTCTCGCCACCATTTATCTACTCTCTGAAGAGTATCTTTTAACATTTGTTACAGGCAGATCTACTAAAAATAAATTTATAATTACTTATCTGAGAAAATCATTTTCTTTTGCTTTTGAATAATTTTGGTGAATACAAAATTTGAGGTTGATGTTTTTCCTTTATTCTTCATTCAATACTTCAAATACTGGAGAACCTTGGATTTAAAATTTAAAAATTAGCATCCAAACAAAACAAACATTCCACTCGCTTCTTGCTTGCATGCTTTGCAATGTGAAGTATGATGTAATTCTAATAATTATTCTTCTATTGTTAAGACGTTTTTATACCCTATGGCTTCTTTCAAGATCTTCTCTTTGTTTTCAAATTCATATGATCTTCATATGCAGTTTGCATATGATATGCCTTGGTGGTATCTATCCTCCTCAGTGTCCTGTGAGGATTCTATTTTCATTTTTTAAGGCAAATGTTATTTAAATGCATAAAAATAAAATTTAAAAATATGTGGAATAGGCATCTACTCATCTTCTTTTATAAAGCTTTGCTTCTGTTCAACCTCTCTATATCTCTATTTCAGTTGTTTTTCATTTCCATTCACCCATTCATATAATAAAACTTTTTTTTCCATTTATTTATTTTATTGCATTTTAGGTTTTGGGGTACATGTGAAGAACATGCAAGATTGTTGCATAGGTACATACGTGGCAGTGTGATTTGCTGCCTTCCTCCCCATCACCTACATCTGGCATCTCTCCCCTTGCTATCTCTCCCCACCCCTCACCATCCCTCCCCTATTTCCCCTCAACAGACCCCAGTGTGTAATGCTCCCCTCCCTGTGTCCATGTGTTCTCATTGTTCAACACCCACCCATATAATAAAATTTACTGAACATTGGCCAGGTGCAATGGCTCACACCTGTAATCCCAGCAATTTGGGATGCTGAAGTGGGTGGATCACCTGAGGTCTGAAGTTCAAGACCAGCCTGACTAACATGGAGAAATCCTGTCTCTATTAAAAATACAAAATTAGCTAGGCATGGTGGCACACACCTGTAATCCCAGTTACTTGGGAGGCTGAGGCAGGAGAATTGCTTGAACCAGGAGTTGGAGGTTGCGGTGAGGCCAGATTGTGCCATTGCACTCCAGCCTGGGCAACAAGAGCAAAATTCCATCTAAAAAAAAAAAAATACTGGACATCTAATATGTGTCAAAACCTGATTTTGGAAAACAGGACCATGATGTTTATATTTGTTTTGCAAAATTCTCGGCAACTATTACTTGAAATATTCTGCTTTTCTGTTTCCCACCTCCTCTTCCGTTTCACATTTTAGTTTGAAAAGTTTCTATTGACATCTCTTCAAACTGAATAATTTTTTCCTTGGCCATGTACAATTTACTGATATGCCCATATGATTTTGGATTTTATCATTTAATTTCTATTTTTTCTTAAGAAATTTTTCTCTTTTTACCTTACTTATCTGTTCTTGCATGTTCTCTACTTTTTTCCATTAGATGCCTTAATTTATTAATCATTGTTGCTTTAAATTCTCTCCCTTCTGATAATTATAAAATTGATGTCATATATGAGTTTGCTTCTGATGCTTGTTTTGGCTCTTCAGACTGTGGGTTTGTTTTCTTTCTAGCCCTTCATATGCCTTATAAATTTTTGGTAAAAGCCAGACATAATCTATTGGGTAATAGAAACCAAGATAAACAGGCGTTTATGTGAGATGTCATGTTAATCTGGCTAGGAGGCTGGATGTTTTTAATGTTTGTTGTAGATGTAGATATTGGAGGCTTTGGGTTCCTCTAGTGTCTTGGTTTTTTCCTGCCCTATGTCTTTAAGCCAACAATGCCTCCTTAAAGAGATTGTAACTTTCAGCTGTTTATGATGTAATCCACTGCTGTAACAGGATATCCATCAATGTTGTATTTAAGTGGGGAAGAAGGGAAGTATTCTGTAATATGATTCTTGGTGTTTTCAGTGAGCTTGAGTTTCTATGCTATGACATTCAGAAATGTTTATCAGCTTCATCTTTTTTATAAATTTTTTCCAGTTAAGTGAGATATGAAAACTAAAGTGAGCTTGAGTTGGCTGTCCTTCCCTCAGATTGAATAAGGTTCTAGTAAATTTTCTTCCCTTGGAAAGTAGGGTCCTGTTGTTAAATACATTGTGGGCATATTTCAAAATGGCTACTTTTGTCCTCAACTTGCTAGAAACATAAAGTGATTTTTCTTTGCTCTTTACCTTGAAATTGGTGGGGTTTTGAGGGATAAAAGCCATGAAAGCATAGAGTCCTAGGATTCTGGCCTCAGAAAAGCTGCTGGTGTCACGTACTGATAAGAACAATTAAACGGTAATTTTGATGAACTGCTGTAGGCCTTGTGGAGCAGCATGAGGGAAAGCAACTACTCAACCTAATTTTTGGTGTTTTGAAGGCTGTCTTTTCTCTCTGATTGCTTTCATGAACCTCCATTTGGGACTTCCACCAATATGGCTGACTAGGAAGAGCTCCATCTTTGGTTCCCAGCCAGAACGAGCCAGAAGGTGAGTGATCTCTGCATATCGAACAGAGGTGCCAGGTTCATCTCATTGGGACTGGTTAGACAGTGAGTGCAGCCCAAGGAGGGCAAATGAAACCAGGGTGGGGCACTGTTTCACCCTGGAAGCACAAGGAGCCAGAGAACTCCCTCTCCTAGCCAAGGGAAGAAGCCATTAGGGACTTTTCCAGACACTCTGGCTCAAATAATGTGCTTTCCTCATGATCTTTACAACCCACAGACCAGGAGATTCCCTCTGGTGCCTACCACACTAGCACCTTGGGTTTCCAGCACAAAACTGGGAAGCCATTTTAGCCACAGCAGGTTGTTTTTTTTTTTTCTTTCTCATATCCCAGTGGCGGCTGAAATGCCAGCAAGATAGAACTGCTCATTCCCCTGAAAAAAAGGAGGCTGAAGCCAGGGAGCCAAATGATCTGGCTTGGCGGGTCCCAGCCCCATGAAGACCAGCAAGCTAAGATCCACTGGCTTGAAATACTCACAGCCAGCACAGCATCCGCCATTGCTGAGGCTCAGGTAGGTGGTTTTAATCTTGCCTGTGTATAAACAAAGTCACTGGAAAGTTTATACAGCAACTGGGAAGAGCCCACGGTAGCTCACCAAGGTCTCTGCAGGCAGACTGTGACTGGACTCCCTTCTTGCTGGGCAGGGCATCTCTAAAAAAAGGCAGAAGCCCATCAGGGACTTATAAATAAAGGCCCCATCTTCCTGGAAAAGAACACATGGGAAAAGGGGCAGTTGTGGGTCCAGCTTCAGCAGACTTAAGTGTCCTTGCCCAGCAGTTCCCAGACCATTTATCCTTGACTGGGAGATACTTCATACAGTAGAGCTCTGGCTGACATCTGGCGGGTACCTTTCAGGGGTGAAGCTACAAGAGGAAGGCACAGGCAGCAATCTTGGCTGTTCTGCAGTACCTGTGGATGATTCCTATTAGGCCTCCAAGTCTAAGCCTGGCTATTTAAGCCTTGGTGAGCCACACATACACCTCTGGATGGCCCCCAGGAGCCAGGAAGTCTGAAGTAACCAGGCGGCCACAGAAAGAGGCAAAACAACTTGTTCTTGCCTCAACTAATAACTGCAACCTGCATCCATTGCTACTGTTCAACCTTGCAAAGTTTCCCCCGGACATTGGGTTTCTCAAGACCGCCACCCCTGTAACTATGTAATTTACTGCACCCTCCCCTCTGACTGCAACTGATACTCCCCACACTTATATATTCATGCTTGTTTGTAATAAATGACCCCCCCGTTGTGATCACACATCCCATGACACCCTCTCCCTCCCCAAGATAAATTACTGCCATTAGCTGACCATTTTCCCCAACTATATAACCAATCCCCTCTCCTACCCCCTTTGCCTAACTCCTTTCTCAGACTTGGCCCTCTTGCATCCAAGCATGAAATAAATGGCCTTGTCTGGTGGTCTCTTTACGTGAGTGACACACGTGACAATCGGTGCCAAAACCTGGGACGAGGGAACTCCTACAGGAGACCAAACCTCCTGCCTCCACCCTTGTGTTTCCTCTGTGAAGAGACCTACGTATGACCTAAGTTCATCAGACCAGTCCGCGCATCCACTCACCATTCTTAGATCAGGTAAGCAGTTTGCCTCAACTCTCTTCTTTAGCCCGTCTCACTGCCTGTCAGCTTCCTTCTCCTTTCAGTGGAGACAAGAAAGACAGAACTTTCTTGAGGTTCATGAACAGAAAAAATCCTACATTGGTCATGGAACTGGGAAGACAGTTTTCCTTCAGTGACTGATCATTGCAGAGACATTTGCTCTGGTCACCATGGACACTGGTTTCCTTCAGTGACCGATCATTGTGGAGACATCTGCTCCGGTCATTCACTCACACTCATAGGGGGATGCCCCCTTTGATCAATTCACCCCAGGTTCAGACCAAGTTTTAGTCTGGGAGACCTGCTAAACTGCTTGGTCATGCATTCACTGTCCTTGTCTCCACCACTCTTCTTAAACTATGGGCAATCTCCCACCCTCCATTCCTCCCTTCCCCTCCCTTAGCCTGCAGCATTCTAAGTGTCTTACTTTCTTCTGTAATTCTGCTTGGCCTTAGTATACATTGGACAATGGCCAGAAAACAGCACCTTTGATTTTTCTGTCCTACAGGATCTAGACAACTTTTGTCATAAAATGGGCAAATGATCTGATGTCCCCAATGTCCAGCCACTGTTCACACTTCACTCCCTTTCCAGACTCTGCTCCCAATGTGATGCCTTTCAAATTCTCCTTCTTTCCCTCCTATCCATGCCCCTGTCCCTAGTGCCAGTGCAGATTACTCACTCTAGTAGACCCTTCTGATCTTTCCCTTCCCCTCAGGCTACTCCTCATCAGGCTGAGCTGAACTGTTATCTCCCCACTGACCCATCCCCTCCCTTGCGTATCTCCTCTGTCACTTCCCCATCCCACACAGGCTCTGGGACACAATTCAATCTAACAGTTTCCCCTTTGAGAAGTGGCTGGAGCAGAGGGCATACTCAGGGTGCATGTTCCTTTTCCTCTGTCCCAAACTGGTCAGCATTTGGGATCTCTTTCATCAGATTCCACTAAATATATCCAAGAGTTTCAATATCTAACTCAGTCCTACAATTTAACCTGGAATGACTTACTTACATGTCATTCTAACATCTACTCTTTCTCCAGATGAACAAAATAGGGCTTATAATCTGGTTCAATTTTATGCTGACACCCAAAGATGCCATAAGCCAGCTCTCCAAGAGGGTGTCAGGGCAGTACCTAGGGGAGAACCCAATTGGCAATACCAGGTGGGCTCGCCTCCAAGCATGACTATATCGTCTCTTGCTTAGATGAAGGACTTAAGTGGGCAGCTTACAAAGCTGTTAATTATGACAAGCTTAAAGAAACAACCCAGGGCAAACTTGAAAATCCTGCCCAATTCATGGCCTGCCTGGCAGAAACTCGTAGACGCTTCACACCACTAGACCCAGAGGGGACAGAGGGTCACCTTACTCTCAATATGTATTTTATTACCCAATCTGCCCTAGACATTAGGAAAAAACTTCAAAAACTAGATTCACGCCCTCAAACTGTACAATAGGCATAATCAACCTCACCTTCAAGGTGTTTTAAAAATAGGGGGGAAGCAGCCAAGCGACAACTCATTTCAGAGCTGCAACTGCTTGTCTCCTCAGTAAGACAAACCCCAGCCACTGTTTCAATGACAGCTTTCAGGTATGCAGGCGACTACAGTCGGATGCCCCATCAAGCCATCCTCCACCAAGGCCTTGCTTCAAATGTTAGAAAACTGGCCACTGGACCAGGGAGTGCCCACAACCTGGGGCTCCATCCTGCTTCAAATGCCAAAAGCTTGCACATTGGGCTAATGAATGCTCACAGCCCAAGACTCCCTCTAAGCTGTGTCCTGTCTTTGAGGAACCTCACTGGAAATCAGATGGTCTGGCTCATATTATAGCCACTCCCAAGTCTACTGGAGTTCAAACCCAATATTCTCCAGCTGACTCCTTTACAGAACTTCTCGGCTTAGCAACTGAAGATTGATGCTACTCGACTGCTTCCGAAGCCCCTGGACCATCACAGATGCCAAGCTTTGGGTAACTCTTGCCATGGAGGGTAATTCCATCCCCTTTTTAATCGACATGAGGGCTAACCACTCCACATTGCCTTCCTTCCAAGGGCCTGTTTCCTTAGCCCCTATAACTGTTGTGGGAGTTGACAGTCAAGCTTCAAAACCCCCAACTCTGGTGTCAGCTTGGGCAACACTCCTTTACTCACTTCTTCCTAGTCATCCCCACATACTGCATTCCCTTATTAGGGTGAGATATTTTAACCAAATTATCTGCTACCCTGACTATTACAGGACTATAGCCACATCTCATAGCTGCCCTCTTACCTGGCCCAAAGCCTACTGCACAGCCTGCCATCACGTCTTCTCACCTTAACCCACAGGTGTGGGACACCTCGACTCCATCCTTAGCAACTGACCATGCACCTGTCACTATACCCCTCAAACCCAATAATCCCTACCTGGCCTAATGTCAAAAGCCCATTCCCCAACAAGCTCTAAAGGGACTAAAACCTCTTACCACTCGTCTGTTACAACATGGTCTCCTAAAGCCTACTAACTCTCCTTACAACTCTCCTACCTTGCCTGTCCAGAAACTGGACAAACCTTACCGGCTAGTCCAAGACCTTCACCTGATCAATCAAATTGTCCTTCCCATCCATCCTGTAGTTCCAAATCCATACACTCTCCTGTCCTCAATTCCTCCCTCCACAGCTCATTCTGTACTCCATCTCAAAGATGCCTTTTTACCACTCCCTTACACCCCTCTTCCCAACCTCTATTTGCCTTCACATGGACTGACCCTGACACCCACCAGTCACAACAACTCACCTGGACTGTCCTGCCTCAGGGCTTTGGGGACAGCCCATGCTACTCCAGTCAGGCCCTCACTCACAACTTCCTCTCTTTCTGTCCCTCGACTTCTCACCTTATTCAATACTGGGAAGACGACTTCCTATGCAGCCCTTCTTATAAAGCTTCTCAGCAAGATACTCTCCTGCTTCTTCAGCACCTATTTTTAAAGGAATATCACGTGTCCCCTTCTAAATCCCAGGTTTCTTCTCCATCTGTCACCTATCTAGGCATCATCCTCCAACAAAACACTCGTGCTCTCCCCACCAACCGTATCCAGTTAATCTCAACCCTGAATGCCTCTATCAAACAGCAGCTCCTCTCCTTCCTAGGTGTGGTCAGATACTTTCACCTTTGGATACCAGTTTTTCTATTCTAACCAAACCTGTATATAAGCTCACCAAGAGAAACTTAACTGACCCCATAGATTCTAAGTCCTTTCCTCACTCCTTTCACTCTTTAAAGACAGCTCTGGAAACTGCTCCCACACTAGCTTTCCCCCACTCATCCTAATCCTTTCCTTATACACTGCTGAAATTCAGGATCGTGCAGTTGGAGTTCTTACACAAGAGCCAGGTCTGCATCCTGTTGCTGTCCTCTCTAAACAACTTGACCTCACTGTCCTAGGTTGGCCCTCATGCCTGTATGTGGCAGCTGTCTCTGCTCTGCTCCTTCTTGAGGTTTTCAAAATCACAGGCTATGCCTCACTCACTCACTTTATTCAGCTCTCACAACCTTCAGGTTTTAGTATCCTCTTCCCATCTCCCGCATGTTTATCTGCCCCAAGTCTTATACAACTCTATTCACTCTTTATTGAAACTCCCACTGTGACTATTGCACACTGCCCCGATTTTAATCCAGCCTCTCATCTAATACCAAACATAAACACAAGCCCCGAACCCCATGACTGTATCTCCCTAATCCATAGAGCATCCTCTCCCTTTGCACATATTTCTCTCTTTCCCATTCCAGACTCAGACCACACATGGTTTAATAATGGCAGTTCTTCAAAGCCCAGTCATTTAACACTGGCTAACGTTGGTTATGCAGTTGTATCCCACTCATCTATCATGGAGGCTACCACTCTCCCTCTCTCTACCACTTCTCAGTAAGCTCAACTAATTGCTTTAACCCATGCTCTTACTCTTGCTAAGGGACTACTTGTAAATATCTATGACTCTAAATACGCCTTCCACATCCTACACCACCATGCTGCCATATGGGCAGAAAGGGGCTTTCTCACTACACAGGGATCTGCTATTATCAATGCTTCCTTAATACAGGCCCTCCTTAAGGTCGCTCTCCTCCCAGCCAAGGCTGAGTCATCCATTGTCAAGGGCATCAAATAACTTTAGATCCCCTTGCCCAAGGAAATGCTTTTTGCCAATGAAACTGCTAAAAATGCAGCAAACGCACCGATATCCCTCCTAGCAGACACTATTTTTCTTTCTCATCAATTACCCCTACTTATGCTCCTTCTCATCAATTACCCCTACTTATGAATCCTGATACCGATCAATGCCTACTAAAAGCAGTTGGTTTTTGCATCAAGGAAACTTCCTTATTCCTGCCTCACAAGCCCGTTCTATCCTCCCTTCTTTCCAAAACCATTTTCATGTGGGATATAAGCCTTTGGCCTGTCTCTTAGAACCTCTTATCTCCTTCCCTTCATGGACGTCCATCCTTAAAACAATCACATCTCAGTGCTCCATCTGCCACTCTACCAACCCCCAGGGATTTTTAAAATCTGCTCCCTTTCCCACTCACCAAGCACAGGATTTACCCCCACACAAGACTGGCAAATTGACTTTACTCATACTCACTGTGTCAAGAAATTTAAATATCTTCTTATATGGGTGGATACCTTTACAGGGTAGATTGAGTCCTTCCCTACTGGAACAGTGTGGCAATTCTTCAAGGATCTAGAAACAGAAATACCATTTGACCCAGCAATCCCATTACTGGGTATAAACCCAAAGGATTACAAATCATTCTATTATAAAGACACATAAACACATGCTTATTGCATCACTGTTTACAATAGCAAAGACTTGGAACCAACCCAAATGCCCATCAATGATAGGCTAGATAAAGAAAATATGGCACATATACACCATGGAATACTATGCATCTGTAAAAAAGGATGAGTTCATGTCCTTTGCAGGGACATAGATGAAGCTGAATACCATCATTCTCAGCAAACTAACACAAGAACAGAAAATCAAATGCTACATGTTCTCACTCATAAGTGAGTGTTGATTAGTGAGAGCACATG